TGTACGTCTTCTTCATTTCGCGCATGACCTTGTCGAAGCGCTTCCACAACTTCTTCCCGTCGGTGAACAGGACCGGCGCTGCAGGGCAAGTCAAACAACAGTGGAACAGCAGTAGCACTTCACTGTCAGCAGCAGTACAGGACTTTCCATCCCCTACAGCACTAAAGCAGACATGACATGAGCACGTTAACCGAACCGTTTGTTTCCTGATGCAACATGAGACTTTTTGTGTCGGTAACATTTCCTGGTTACACCGACTTTGCAGGAGGATGCACATCGCTGTCATGTCGTCATTTTATAACCGATTGCTGCCCAAAGCCGGGCGTGCTTTATCACCCCAGACTATGTCACCAAACTACACGCTACACACAGCCTAGTTACTTCTGGTGGAGGGCTTTGTGGGTGCTGCCTACTTGATGGATCACGACTCTGTCAAGGCAGCGCACCGTGATGGCCTGTCTGCCCTGTCAACACACGTGACAACTTTGAAAATATGTATTTGCGCTGAGCGGACCAAACACAAACACCCTGCATCCGGCGTTACGCATATCGTGTTGAACAGCAGACCATAGCGGCGCAGAGGGTCGGATACGCATTCGAAACCTGCCTCTCTCTGTCGCGGCGGTCGGTTGTGTCTCACGGTGTGTCGCGAAGCGTTTGTTTTCTTACCTCCGTTCAGACTTGTTCTGCCCATGACCTCGAACGTCAGCCACGCCTGCTTGATCACTATGCCGTTTTCCTTGAGCCACTTGAAGAATCCTGGGACAGCGATGTCCTTGTAGCCCTTGGCCGCTGCCTTGTACTTAGCCTCCGTGGAGACGATCCCGGCGTTCCGCTTGACCGCCAAGCAAGCGTACACGATGCACACGTTCTGGAGGTGCTTGAGAAGCTTGATCTGCGAGAGGCCCTTGCCGCCCAGGAGCAACTCCAACGTGCCCTCGACATACCCGTTGAACTCCAGCGGGAGAGGTTGAACGTTGTCTAGTTTCATGACATCCATGGTATGCGGTGGCTCGTGGTGTGTGTGCGGTGTGGATACGCGTGGTGTGCTGATGTAGCTTGTGCGCTTGTGCGAGAGAGAAGCGGCGCGAACTGCAAGAATTCAAAAATCGTTCGCGCGCGCTGGCGCGCGCACGCAAACGCCTCCGAGAATAATCGAACACCTCGTTTTTGGAAAAAGACAGCGTAACAAGTGGGTTGTCGTTTTTCCATATCTTTTTTTGGGCTGTCCCTTTTTGAGAAAAGGGCTACAGGTGGCCTACAGGTACGCTCTCCGTTTCATAATTAATCCATGATCAGTTTCATTATCGTGTTCTCAACATTGATGACGATAAACTTGATAATTTATGGTCGTAATGTATCCGCCTCGATTCCCGTCCAGACCGCAAAGGAGCTCCTGGCGAAGGGCCTGTTGAAGGACAAGTTCACCGCGGCTCTCCTTAACGGGGTTGAACCCGAAGATGGTGGAGGCATGGGCACTCCGTTCGAGAGCGAGGGCAACGGCGACTGCTTGTTGAATTCTGTGGCCCAAGAAGGGGAGCGGTGTCCAGTCCAGCCAAGCACATCCTGCCGACAAACACTGTCGACGAGAGGATTGACGATATCCGGACATGGACTGTGGGGGGCGTGTCAGCACAGCAAATTATCAAGCTGCTGGAACTAGACCAGGACGGTCTCCTCTTGTGCAAAAAGGGAAGACAAAAAGTGGGTGGCTACAGTTGGGTCTAACGACGTTCAGTATAGATGTGAATTCGCAGGAAATAATAGCAGTGAAATAATAGTGGAGTTGCTGCATTCTCGGCGTTTCTCATTATACAACACCGTTGCCAACTGAGGCAGACAAGTCTTCTTGCAGTGCTTCCCCGTCATTGTGTTAAGTGGCGGAAAGAATCTACCCCCTTGTTGCCTTGCAATTCTTTTCGTAACGCCGTTTTCGTACAGAAGGTGTACAACGAAGTGCAGAAGGTAAACGACGCGTTGAACGCGAAACCCGAGGACGCAACCGACTTCCTCGCGACTCTGAAAAGCGACCCTGGCATGTACTGCGATCACACGCTGGATGCCCAGGGACGATTTGTGGATGTGTTTTGGTCTACCGTCCAACAGCAAGAACAGATTGCAAGATTTTGGGGCTGCATACAGCTCGATACAACGGTGTTCACGAACAGGTGCACACAATACCTTCGACAGGTTACAAGTCTCCACAGCACATGTGGCACCGCTCGTTACGCTACGCTGCTCATGGTTGCCCTTTAAAAAACCCGCTCGCCGATTGTGGTCGAGGGATTTGGTGCTGCTAGAAAGAGTATCAATGCGTCATGTAACTCGGGCTGACTGTTTGTCTGTAGGTACGGGTGGCCTCTTCTGTTCGTTGTGGGCGTTGACGACGAGAATCGCAGCTGCATTTTGGGGCAGGGCCTGCTGCGGTCTGNACATGTGGCACCGCTCGTTACGCTACGCTGCTCATGGTTGCCCTTTAAAAAACCCGCTCGCCGATTGTGGTCGAGGGATTTGGTGCTGCTAGAAAGAGTATCAATGCGTCATGTAACTCGGGCTGACTGTTTGTCTGTAGGTACGGGTGGCCTCTTCTGTTCGTTGTGGGCGTTGACGACGAGAATCGCAGCTGCATTTTGGGGCAGGGCCTGCTGCGGTCTGAGTGTGCGGAGACGTTCGATGGATCCTGAACAGATATGAGGCCGCTGCCAGTGGGCGGAAGCCGAAGGCGACCCTGTCACGATGTACACAACACTCATTCATGGCGTAGAACGCGGTCAGGATGATGTACAGTATGAAGTCGCTTCGACAAAGGAACAAATAGACGTCCATATTTGTTGAGGCATGTACTGCAGACGCAGAAGAGCTTGTCTAGTGGCTGTCGACATAACCGGGCCGTCCATGGCCTATCCCATCCGTTGACAACGTACGTCTGCCCTTTGCCACAGGTGATCTTGACCGACGCTGATCTTGCAATGACGGCTGCAATAGCTTCTTGCTCGCCAGGGACGCTGCATTTGCACTGCTTGTGGCACGTCTTCAAGAACGTCCTCAAGAACTGGTCGTCATCATTTGCTAACAATAACGACAAGACCGACATGATGCATTGCTTCAGGAACGCAGGCTATGCAGCTACCCCGGAGGTACGATGGCATAATACATGTGTATATGTATTATAAAAAATGTGTATACCCTAGACTCCAACTATATTTCCCCCAAATACCCGCTGAGCGGTGTCTAGGCACTGCCTAAATATATACCTATGTATTAATTATATAAGTATATGTTTAATGTGTGTATTTGGGGTATAATGATGAGTTGTATGCTATAAGGTATATCAATATCTTAATATAATCTATTAGGAATATCTTCATATCTCTTATTAGGGGATACTAGAAATATCTTAAGATAAAATCTCTTGAGACATCGGAATTTTAAAATCAATCGGATTTAATTTATTCTCTTGGCTTTCAGGTAGAAAGATGTCGTTGATCAAGGTATTTAATTCCTCGGCGATAAATTTCTGTTATTTAGTCAGATAGGTATACTCCTTTTTATTTAAATCTATAGTGTTTGTTAACAAGAAAGTTTTCCAATAATTGTGATCATGTAATAAGCGAAGTTCGTTAAAATATATTCTTTTTAAAAATTCTATATCAATGAGACGGGCATAAAAGGCATCATGTATAGTAAAAAGAGGTTTATTTTCTTCTCGGAATTTCAAAACTACTTTATGTAAGTTACTCAGCAACAATAACTATTGTTGCTGATTGCAAGTCCGATTCTTGTTATCTTTAAAGTTAAATGATACAGCAATATCTATCAAATAAAATTATTTAGTATTTTGTTTTAAAAACCATTTTTGATTTAATATTACTTGAAGATTGCAAAATATCAAGTAAAGCTANAATTACTCAGTAACAATAACTATTGTTGCTGATTGCAAGTCCGATTCTTGTTATCTTTAAAGTTAAATGATACAGCAATATCTATCAAATAAAAATTATTTAGTATTTTGTTTTAAAACTATTTTTGATTTAATATTACTTGAAGATTGCAAAATATCAAGTAAAGCTAATAACTTTGAGGGGGTTTTTGATTGAAAAGATATAAGAACTTTATATTCTCTTCTTTCAAACTGATCTTTAGATCTTTTATTACCAAGAGGGGAACGAAGTAGTGTAAAACGCCTTATTTTTGTAGGTAAACCTGTGCTAGTATGAGATAATGGCAATAATAACGAATATAATTTTAAACTATTTAAATTTGTTGAACTTGCCCATATCTCACAACTATAGATAATATTTTTATTGTTATCTTTCATACTAATGTATAAATTAAAACCAATTAAGGGAAGCGGTGGGATTTGAACCCACGGTACATTAAAGATATACATTGATTTAGCAAACCAAGGCTTTAAACCACTCAGCCACACTTCCTTTAAGATAAAAAAAAAATAATTTTTAATCAAATAAATTAAATTTCTTAATATTTACTTTGCATATTAATTTTAAAATAAGTTCGACTATTCTTATTTTACTTTGTATTGGGTGCAGTAGTAAATTTTAAATTTTTATAACGCGACTTTAAACTAAAAGCCAATACAGGTAGAATGTATCCTATAACTATGATGTAAAAAGTAAAAACTATAGAGATTAACCAAAAAACTTGGTTAAAAAAAGTCATTGTATCAAATTGTGGCATATAATTTTTTAAACCCGACTAAAGCGAAAAAATCAATTAGTTAATAGCTCGATTTAACCCCTCCCTTAATATTGAAGGTTTATCTACTTAAAAAGATTTATTTATTGTACATTTTAATCTAAGGCTTACCAGCAAGCTTTACAAAAACCTTGAAAATCCCCTTTTGAGACTAAACGACGAAACTTTAGCCTAGATATTTTTAAAAAACCTATAACAGCGCGAGATCTACCAGTTTTTATACAATGGTTATGAACTCTACTTAAACTACTTTGTCTTGGTAACTTAGATTTTTCTAATTGAGCCCACCACCGTAGTGATATTTCTAAATTTTGATTAGTTGCTACAGCTTGAAGACTTTTTCGTTTAGATTCATATAAAGCAAAAGATTGACGACGCTTATAATCTAAATTTCTCATTCCCAATCTAAACTACCAATTTGCCAAGCATAGATAAAACCAACAACTAATTCGAAAAGAAAGTCTAGCATGGACCAATAACCTATTGAAGGCAATTGACTTAAAGAAACTGACCAGGGGAAAAGAAAAATAGTTTCTATATCAAAAAGAAGGAAAAGAATTGCTACAAGATAAAAACGAACATCAAAGGCATTACGAGCATCTTCATAAGGATCAAAACCACATTCATAAGAAGATAATTTTTCAGTATCTCCATCTGAAACAGCTAAAATAAACGAAGCACCGAAAATAATACTAGCTAAAGCAAGACTAAAGCCTAAAAAAATTAATACAGGGTAATATTCTTTTAAAAAAAACATAATTATTTAATTTATACTTGGTTTTAACCAACAAACTGGACATAATTCTATAACTCCACCTGAAGTTTCAGTTTTTAGTACACTTTCTTTAAACATCCCAATTTCAGAATGACCTCCTCTATTAGAAGTACCTATTAAATCTATACCCCCAATTTGAGACGTATATCGTACACATCTTGTACAAAGAATACACCGTCTTAAAACTGTTTTTATTAGGCTTCCCCAAAAAGTGTCACCTAAAGAATTTTTAAAAAAAAAAAATCTTCCTCTATCAGATCCATAATTAAAACTTTGTTCTTGCAAATCGCATTCTCCTCCTTGATCACATACAGGACAGTCTAAAGGATGATGCAAGAGTAATAATTCCATAACAGACTCTTGAGCTTTACGAACAAGAGCTGTATTTGTAAAGATTCTTAAATTAGGTAAGAAGGGTAAAGCACACGAAGCTTGAGGCTTTGGTGACTTACTAACCTCAACAAGACACATACGACAATTACCTGCTACAAAAAGTTTATCATGATAACAAAACCTAGGGACCTCCACCCCCGCAGCCTGACAAGCTTGTATAACAGTAGAACCCTTTTTTACCCAAACAATAAGATCATTTATAAATATAGTAAGCAGAATTAAGATAATATATCTAACTTATCCTCCTTTAAGTCTCTAGAAATTTTCTTTTCTTTTATTAAAAAAACAGCATTTTTAGACTCTCGACCTAATTGACGGTATAAAGATTCAGGGCGATTTTTCTGTAATGTTAAACTAATAGCCCCTACCATAGCTATTAAAAGAATAATACCAGCTATAATTAACAATATAGCATAAGTTGAATAAAGTAAATAACTTGGATCATTTAAAGCGCAAGACGAATCAAATTCAACGAACCACATCTTATTACCAACATAAGAGGAGTCCATATTTTCTTTATAAAACAATAAACGAAAAAATTCTGTAAGATTCTCAGAATCACATAAATTAAACCAAGAATCTATTTTTTCATTAAGATAATCAATAAATGTTTTAGGAATTTCTTTATCTTTATTTGAAGTATCAGATTTACTTATATCCTTTATTTGTTCTAACTTAATATTTGCCATTTCATTCTTAACAATAGGTTGAAAAATTTCTTTAATATATTCTTCATATTTTATTATGTTAAAAAAAACTAATGAGCCTATATAAGTTGTTGCAAATAACTTTATTAAACTTTGCAACTCTTTATTACACCCTACTGCGAATAAAAAGAAAAAAAAAATTAAACCACCAACGTAAAATAATCGTTTTTTTTTTGCTGACCAAGGATTTTCAATAGCTTTAACATCTAACATCATAACTACAAACAATACCAGTACAGCAATAGCACCAGCATAAACCAAAAGAAAAAGTAAAGCAATAAATTCAAGACCTAATAAAAAAGCAATCCCTGAACCTAAAAAAAAGAGTAATACAAGATAAAGCCCACTATATACTGGATTTTGCGTACTTGTAACTTTAATTCCTAAAATGGCTCCAAGACTTGTAATAAGAATAAAAATTATAGGATGGACCATAAAGCTATAAAAATTAATAATACCTGTATTGGTAAGAATTTAAAACCAAAAATAAACCACAGACCAAATAAAAGGTTACTCCATCCTAATATTACTAAATAATGATATAAATAACCGGAGTGCCATAAACGAGATTTATTTACTTGATCTAATAATACATTTGAAAAACCAAAAGGACCTAGACTTTCAATAAGACCACGATCTATTGATTTATAAGTAAGATGATAACCAAAATCTAAAATATTTTGGGTAATGAAATCATTATATATTTTATCAAATAACCATTTACGGTTAAGGAAAGTATATAACTTCCGACCTAATATAGAAGTTTTAAAAAGAAATAGATTACGACTATAATTTCTATATAAAATAAATGAAGAAACCCCCCCTAAAATACTAAACCAAAGAGGTAATATTTTTATGCCTGTACCCATAAATTCAGCGTCTATTATACTAATATTATTAGGCAAAGAAAATAAAGCATTTCCCCAAAAATCAGTACCTAAACCAATAAAAAGATCTCGGGCCAAAATTATTATTTTTATTGGGCTCCTATCCCATACTAAACTTGCTGTACTAATATATAAACTTTCTAAGACCAATTGCCATCTTGTAGGAAAACAATTTAAACCATAAGAAGATAATCAATAAAATAAGAAAATAAAAAAAGTTAAACTTACACAACTAGTTATCATTGCGTTAGTTATAGAAAAATCAAATAGATTTACACCAAAACTTAACAAAGGAAGNACCGACCTAGATATTGAGGAGAGGAATCGTTTGCCGCTGTTTATTTTGAAATCGGTCGGTTAGTTATCCCCCGAAAAACAATACAAGTTAGCCCTCTAGATCCGGTTTTTCTCTAATATCTCCGTGAATTTAAAATATTTTGACCCAAAAAAAAATACGGACCTGGCAAATCCCGACACAAATCCGTTGAGTTTTTTCGAATCGGCAAAGAACACACCCCTGCGAAAACAATTCAAGTTTTTCCGGTTTTGCGCCGATAAAAAGTCGAGAAAAAGAAGAAAGAAAATAACTCTCCGTCACGCGATGCGCCTGCAAACAGGGCGTTTCCGGTACTTTCAGATTTCGGAACAACCACCTGTGGGCAGAGAAAAGTTGTCATTTGTGCTGGGAAAATTTTGGATTTTTTGGTGTGCACGGACTATACATACATGTTTGTCATTTTTAGCAATGGCCAAATCCGACTAATGTGACGTCCCTTGCCGGACTGTAAGACGGTGTCGCCCATTAAGTGGCCGTTTGCCCGTCAGCCATGTGTCGAGGAAAACTGTTACAATNTTTGTGCTGGGAAAATTTTGGATTTTTTGGTGTGCACGGACTATACATACATGTTTGTCATTTTTAGCAATGGCCAAATCCGACTAATGTGACGTCCCTTGCCGGACTGTAAGACGGTGTCGCCCATTAAGTGGCCGTTTGCCCGTCAGCCATGTGTCGAGGAAAACTGTTACAATAATGTAGTCAGACACAGTTTACCATAGGTGCGACTGCGGCAACTAGCCTTCCGCGGACATCATACAGAAAGAAGAGATGGTACTTAGCAGACAACATGATGAGCACAGAGTTGTAGCGGAGAAAATTTGGCAGGCGAGTCTGTAGTTAGTTGTTTCATTGTTCCGAACCCCGAAATTCCGGGACTCGGGCCCATATCCCGGAGACCCTCTCGGAACCTGCTGTGTTTGCTGCTTGTTTTTAGTTGTTGTTGTTGAGGTTAGTCACAAGCGCGCCTTCGCCCCTTGTGCTCACTCTCATCTAGCACCCATCATAGCCACCAGGGAGTCAGTTGATAAGAACATCTATCCACATTTCTCTTTCCGAAGCTCGCTCGGGCCTACCGATCTCACAGCAGTGTAACCTCTGTGATAGACTAGTCTACAAAGTCTACGAGCTACAGCAGCACCGCCACCTCCGCTGCTGCAGAACGCCGCATTTTGTGAGGTTATGAGCCTCGCTTTCCGCGCGAACACTAGGAGCTGCGGACATCACGACGGAGGTCAAGACATCCTTCTGTGGACTACAACATCCGTCTGTGGACTAAAAAGATTTATATATATTATACCAATCAACATAAATAGTGATCCAAAAAGAGTGTAAAGAAAAAACATATAAGCTGCACGTATTTTTCTTTGACGTGAGCCATAAATACCAATAACTAGAAACATCGGTATTAAAACAGCTTCAAAAAAAATATAGAAAAATAATAAATCTAAATTAGTAAAGACTAAAAGTAATACTAGTTCCATACTTAAAAAACTAATTAAATAAGTTTTAATATCCCCTTTATCAAAAGACCATGAAGCTAAAAGGCATAAAGGAAAAATTAAAGTGGTAAGTATAACAAAAAAAAGAGAAATTCCATCAACACCTAAAACCAAATTAATATTTGCAACAGGTAACCATAACCAATTAACAACGTATTGAAATTTAGGTGTAGATTGATCAAAACCTAACCAAAGTAAAAGAGAAAACACAAATACTACTGAAGTTATAAAAAGAGCATACTGCCTCATTAATAACTTTTTATCCGAAGGTATAAAAATTAAACCACCAATACCTAAAGAAAGAAATATAAAGAGAAGAGTTAAGAGCATAACCTTTTACCAACCCAAGTTAAATATTCATCTTGACTAACCGCTTGAACTACGATGGGCATAAAACCATGATTAACTCCACAAAGTTCGCTACATTGACCATAGAAAACACCTTCCCGCTTAACAAACATAAATACTTGATTTAAACGACCAGGACAAGCATCTACTTTAACACCTAAACTTGGCACAGCCCACGAATGAAGAACATCCGCAGATGTAATAAGCATACGTATATGTGTATTAGTAGGAACAAATAAACGACTATCTACTTCAAGTAAGCGGAAAACTTTACCTGCTTTGCCTGCTTTACCAAAAGCTTCTGGAATTACTAAATCTTCATCAGCTATAAGATATGAGTCAAAATTAATAGGCTG